AAAATATATCTGTTGATGTATTTATATTGCGTAAATTAAAAATGATATAAAATGATAAAGAAAATGAAAGGTTAAATGAAAATTTAAAACTCATTTATTTAATAAAAATCTTTTTATTTAAAAGAAATTTAAAACTATGGGAAAATAGAAAAACGATGAATGAATGCTTCTATTGTGTCACCTAATTAACCCCAAGTTTTGTTATATATATATATATATATATATTATAACTTTTATTAATGTTGGATTTATTAAATAAATTTTTTGATGTAATTAAAAAATATAAGGCAAATAAAATTATGTTTGTTGATATATTTATATTGTGTAAATAAGAATAATATAAAATGATAAAGAAGATGAGAGATCAAATGAAAAGTTAGAACTCATTTGATAAAAAAAGCTTTTTATTTAAAAGAAATTTAAAAATTATGAGAAAATAGAAAAAAATGAATATAGGTTTCTCATTGTGCCACTTAAGAGAGATAGAGAGACTTGGAATCATGTGAGAGCAAGAGTTTTTAGTTAGACCCGTAAGACCAATTCTCAACCCTTTGATTAGATCTATAATATGAACATTCATAATCACAAAATTACAACGAGACTTCTCAATAATTACAAAATTGTCACCGTACAACTTTAAATCATTAGATTATTAACTTATAAAATTGATCATTGAATATAAATTGGTCTTACGGGTCTCATGAAAAACTTTTGGTCTCACATGAACCCAACCCTATATGCATGTATGTATGTATAGATATAGGTTAATTATGTATGTATGTATAGATTTGGTCTCACATGAACCAAACACAAAGTTGATTCTATGCAATTTGTAACAACCCGTCTCATATGAATAGAAAAATGAGATTTGCAAGCTCTTCATAAAACTTAAGTTGTGGACATCAATAATTTTCACTATGATTTTGAATCAAATTTGAAATTATTGGATCTTCTGTTGTTTTGGACTTTGAGGTATTAGAATATCCAGCTAGGCAAACACTATAAGCATATAAATTATGTAGCCATTTTCAAGGGTCTGCTTGTTAGCAACTTAATGAGACTCATAACTTATTCGATCAAATATACATGATCGTTTAGTTATGGCTTGATGATATAGAAAGTGACCTATTCAATAAGCTTCAAGGTAAGCTTTATGAAGAAAGCCAAAAAAAAAAAAATCCAAACATGACTCTTCCGGTTAAAAAAAAACACACTTTTCCAATCTAAGAAAAAGACATATCAAATAAAAACTTTCACAATCTACACAAACAGATTAATTTTCACTTTCACAATCTACACAAACAGATTAATTTACACAACCAACTTTATCTATACATGACTTAATAGAACACCAACCAAACAACCCCTAAGTCAAAGTATTTTTTGTTAAGATCATGATTATAGCATCGACTTTCAAATAATGGCCGAAAGCGTTAAAAGACAACACTAAAGCTAAAATTTAGTACTCAAATTTTCAACATTAATTAGAATATTAGCTCAATAGTTGGAAACAGGGGCATTCGTGGTGCGATTTAGAGCCAAACTGTAAATCGCACTGCATATGTCTCAAATAGCCAAAAAACCACACTACGAAATGTGGTGTGGTTTATACGATTTGTATCTAATTTTAAATCCAGTAATTATAAGATTAGAACATCAAAAAAAATCCAACAAAGACTTATTCATATTCCATGCAATAAAAAGTTCTAATATGTTTGAAATGTGTAGTTAAAAGTTGTGTAAAACAAATTAAAGAATATCAATCGTTTTTACAAACCACGGTAATCAAATTGTAGTTTTGAAATTCTAGGGACGAAAACCGACACAATTGACAAACCACGGGGACCAAAATTGTAATTTACTTTAAAAATGACAAATTAATAAACAATCGTATCTACTCACGTGCCTCTCACATGCACTTAAAATAACGAATCCGTATCCTGGCTCAAACAACCAATCAAGGCGCTCCATTGCTCATTACACGGATTGGAATCGTACGGCAATGCACTCTCAAATCTCCTGAAATCCAACGGTTAGAAACACGCCTCCCAAATTCTACAACCTATATATATACACCTTTCCTTGCACCATTTTCAAACCATCTTTCTACATCATATCCTTTTTCAAGAGAGAGAAAGCCAAGAGAGAGAGAGAGAGAGAATGTCAGGAAGAGGAAAAGGAGGCAAGGGATTGGGAAAGGGCGGAGCAAAGCGTCACCGGAAGGTTTTACGTGACAACATTCAAGGTATCACGAAGCCGGCGATTCGACGATTGGCTAGAAGAGGTGGCGTTAAGCGTATAAGCGGTCTAATCTATGAGGAAACACGAGGTGTGCTCAAGATCTTTCTAGAGAACGTCATTCGTGATGCGGTTACCTACACCGAGCACGCTCGCCGGAAAACTGTTACTGCGATGGACGTGGTTTATGCTTTGAAACGTCAGGGCCGAACTCTGTACGGTTTCGGAGGTTAAGAGAAACTCGAGGTTCGTAGGATTAGGCTTTTTTTTAATGGAAATCGTGTTTGCTACTTAGTTGTTAATACTAGTGCTATGTATCGTCCAGTTGAATCTCGTAATGCAATTCTAGTTTTACTTGCATTTCTCGTTTTTCAGATCTACAGAGTAGCTTCTTTTTGAAATTTGATTTTTGATTCGTGAATTAGGGATGTTTTTGATCATCTGGATGTGGATGTATAACTCTAGATTCAAATCTACTGATTTTTTGTTTAACCAATGCATTATGTTAAGCAACATATTGTAATTGTGTTACTTCTCTAGGTTTGAATCGAAAAACTCGTTGTATCTCAGCTTTACTACTGTAGTTGATTTAATAGTGATGTGCTTTGTAATATACTTTTTGCTACCTTGCTCTCCCTCGACTTGGATTATAGGGGAAGAATCGACGAGGAATCTAGACTAGAAAGGAATATAGAACATCAAATCGTGAATGAAAAAGAAAAAAGCGTGTGGAGAATTATCAAGGGAGATTGGGTCGAAATCTATTTGTGAGAGGAAAGGATCGACCATAGGAGTAGCTATTGAGCTGTGGAATGTGCTGTCGTAAACTATTGGATCGAGTATTACTTAGATGTGAAACTTGCRGACCTCATTGGTTGTGATATTGATCTTAAGAAGGGGGGGGGGACGAAATCAAAGAATATACAGACTGACTTGCCCTCTCTTGTTAGTACATATATGCTCCTAAATCACTGAATTCAAACTAGCGAAGAAAAGGGGCATTTGTGGTCTTGCAGCAGAATAATGATTTTCATCTGAAGGAGCCATTCCCCTTTTAGTAGTTGAAGTATTTTCGTCTGTCTAACTCATTCATTTACTCTACTTGAAGCCTTTCATTTTCGGCAGCTAAGGAGGCAGTCTTGGTCAACCATTCTGAGTGTGACACTTCATTCCCGGCTGGCTCTGGCTACCTTGCGGAGCTAACAGAAGACCCTCAAATCACACTTCCTATATGGACAAACAAGCTTTGTACAACCAGCTTACGTGGAAAAGATTCCTCCAGACCTGCCCGACTTTCTCAAACTATTGGTCGAGTCATTTCCTTCCCCTCGCCTTACAAGGACCTACTGGACTATCCTGGTTCTATTGGGTTAGTGTTAAGTAGGTGATTTAGCCCTCTATCGAGAAGGAAGAGGGAAGCAGGGCGACAACTAGTGACTTTCTCCTGTAATGAATAGAATAGGCCCGAGAGCTATGAAAGGAGAGAGTTTCCTATTCCATATTCTGGTTGACCAATTCGAGTTCATGCTCGTTTATGGTCTCATATTCGAGATCGATTCACTCGTTTATTAGTTAGAGCTTGATAATTTTTACATT